GGGGGGGGGGGGGGGAGGAAGGAAGAGTGAAGACGGAGTGGCACAATGTGTGTCCCTGAAAAATGAAATCTGAGAAAAGGAACTTCAAATAGCAGAGAGGCCACAGTCACACAGTAGGAAGAACTGTCAGAACCGGCACAGCCAGGCATGGAGAGTGCGGCCTGGACTTCTTCAGGAAGAGAAGCCAGGCTCTGGGCGTTCCTGTGTTGGGTTTCATTTGTAGGGAGTGGTGGTCATAGCCACTGAGTCCGGAACAGAATTCCATTGAGCAACAGCGAGCGTTTAACGGGAGGAGCACCCGTTTCCCAGCCACCTACTGAGCAAGCCTGATCCTCTCGACTCTCACTGTGGGTTGCTAAGAGCATTGCAGGGAGTGGGGATGGTACAGGACAACCCGTCCCCTCTGCTGGGGATTCAACTGAGTCCTCAACCAGCCCTCTCAAGCACAGGGCAGCTGCAGTACACACCCCGAGGATCAGGAAGTTCTTAGGAAGACTGGCAGGAACCTGCACCTCGGAAACTCAGATGAAACGGGGGGAACTACCCAGAAAATGCACAGGGACATGAACACATACCTTCAAACGTTTGCATACAAGTTCAAGGCCCTTATTCCTTGGCTAAGAACCTCTGATCTACACAAAATTCTTCCCCCAATATTTTTCTATCCGAGGGTGGAAGCAGGCAGTTAATTGCCTGTGTGATTCAATGCGGACGGGAGGTGGCGCTGTAGAGGAGGAATTGTGGCATTTTGCCCAAGCAACTCTAGAACAGGGAAAGGGGTGTGAGTCAGTGAAGAGGGGTGCATAAAGGTGCCTTTTGAACTTATAAAACTAACACTACCGACTCCTCTCCTTCCCCTCGCAAGTCCAGGGTCCATCACTCAGTTGTCCGGTTCTTTAAGAGTTCCAGATGTATGCGATCGTCATAGAACCGTAGGTCTGGGGAGCTAACTCCCGTTTCCTAGTCCGGCCCACTTTACAGTTGAGGAAACGGGTGTCTGCCTCGGTACTGACTCTTCATGTGGCAGCGGGTCCTACAGGCTGACAGGTATAGCAGGGAGTGTGGTGGAGGTGGGCGAGGGGCAGGAGATGGCACCGACGTTTAATCAGGCATATGAGCGCATCTGCCTTCCAGCCAGAGCTATTGCTGGCTGTTCTCAAGGAGAACAGGAATTACACATTCACCTGATTTGGTCCTCACAGCAGCACTATGATCACTTGATAGACGAGGAAACTGGGATTTACAATCCTACTTCTGTCAATTGGGAGTGGAGCCCAATATTCTGTATTTCGAACAAGTTTGCAGTTGGTGCGGATGCTGCTGATCTAGAATTGACAGGAGGCTAGCAGAAGGGTGAGATGGAGCTGGGATTAAAAGTCAAGAAGCCTGAGTCAGACTGTGTGGCCCCAGTGCACACACACATAACTGCTCCACCGTACTGCCTCCAGGGCGTCCCCAACATTAGTGGGTCAAACAGTAATGTCCACTGAATGTGGAATCTGTTTTCCAGAAATGAGTGGGTCTGATTTCTTTAGTATAGTTGGCTCAGGTTTTTTTTGTTTTGTTTTTTTTTAAAAAATATTTTTGTTGATTTCAGAGAGGAAGAGAGAGAAACATCAATGATGAGAGAGAATCATTGATCAGCTGCCTCCTGCACGCCCCCTATTGGGGATCAAGCCCACAACCAGGGCATATATCCTTGACCAGAATTGAACCTGGGATCCTTCAGTCTGCAGGCTGACACTCTATCTACTGAGCCAAACCAGCTAGGGCTGGCTCAGTTTTTGACAGGTCCATATTTAGTCATGCTAATATTTATTCATTCATCTCATTCACTTACTCACCCTTCCTTTGAACACACTGAGTTCCTACGATGGGCTGGGTGTTCCATGCAAGTGCAGTGAGGGGCTCTGGGAGCTCAGGATTAATAAAACACCATCCACGCCCATAGAGGCACAGTGGGGAAGTGGACAGGAGGTAACATGTTGCAGGTGTGGCCAATGCCCCC